TATGATTATGACACTCTATCCCCACATATTAACCTAGTTTTAATTTCTTATTCATTGAAAAATTTAGCAATATACAGGTAAAAATTAGTATGACACCTTCAAATTTTTATAGATTAAATAAGTATTTTCTTATTATTTATTAAGTTCCCTTTGTTTTAGTTTCTCTAGAATATTTTTTTTTAATTAAAGGTGTATCTAAAAAATTATAATGATTGTATAAGTTTTTTCTATAAAAAAAAACTTTAAAACTTTTTTTTATTAAAAAATTTCTCACAAATATTTTTTTATTTATAAAAAAGACATAATTACTTTTTATATGCTTAAACAATTAATAATAAATACATTACACTTTAATTCATTTTAATATCTTCTAATAATGATGATGAATTGTGAACAAATATTTCAGTAACATTTCTCCTTTTTTTAGTATTACCGGTAAAAAAAAATTAAATACCTTATTAATTATTATAAAACTTTATATGATGAATTGAAATTTTAAGTAATCTTAGTACCGATTTAATAATTCCATCGAAAAAATATTTCATTTTATTTTATCGTATTAACTTTTAATTTGATCTTATAAAACTTAAAGAGGAAACTCGAGTATATATTGAGAGAGGAGGATTAGTATATAGTAGTGTGCAGGTAGCCATGTAACGACAAAATAATGAAGATAATGATAGAGAGAAATCATTAATATAGAACAGGTTTTTATACAATGATTTTTAATTTAAAAACAAAAAAAGTTTCAAGGAAAGACCCACCACTAATATAGTACCCGAGGAAAGCTTGAAAAAGAATTCACAGAAAAGAGATTGCACAGAATCTATACATTGTTCAGTTTTTTCCTTAAAAATAATAAGCAAAATTGAAATGCTGTTGGTAATTGAAATTCAGTGAAACAATGTGACATGCATGTGTGTGGCCACTTGAACTATATCCATACATAATTTAGAGGCAATATATGATTTAACAGTTCCTAGTTTCCAGCGATGCTCACCAAACTATGGGACCCTTCTCTTCTGAAGAATCTGAACTGAGGCTGCCATGGCAATCATAACAAATTCCTCATAATCATCCACGCTGTTGTAACTCATACCATACCATATATAACTACTATACACCACACGTTTCCACCAGGATAACAACCTCTCCCAAAACCATTCAATAAAAAAACAAACATTTTTCTTATGATTACATTGTATTGACCCGAATCACGTGCTTCCATAATGTAAAATTCCCTTGAGCCTTAAGACAGAGACATCTAATTTGTCTATTCATTGTGATTTGTGAATAATAAATGGTAAATCCTAGCTTCGTTGCATGTGTCAGTTCCACGTATGATCGTATAAAACATTTGGGAATGCTTTCCCTGCTTAAATGGCAATGTTCATAATAAATATCCATGATAAGTTCAGGCAGAAATACTAATTAAGTTGGATAAATTTCCATTTCACAACATATTACAAATTAATTTAAGTACATCAAGAGTCTTTAAATGTAATTCATTTTTTCTTCAATCGTCATAATATATAGAATAAAGAAAGCTAGCTCTGGCCTACTTGCTGCATTATGAATGTGAAAATCATGCATTCAAGATTAATGTTAAGGCATAATGTGTGACAGAGAAAACCGACGAGTCGTATTTAATTATGTGGTTCAGTGGTTGTTGCCACATATAGTGTTTGAATCTACAACAATTTTGTAGTCATGTGTTTACAGTTCACACAGGTATAAAAATGACAATTAATACCTAGTTGATTAAGGTTTCTTATCTTATGCGCATGAAATTCCACATTAATACTTAGTAATGTGGCTAAAATAAAATACCTAAATGACGAATTTGTAAAATTATGTTAAAATCTTAAGTTTCTAAAACATGGAGGAGGATAGGTACTTGATTGATTGAGATAAAATAAAGGGTTTATGTATCATGGGGTGCGAACCTGTAGTAATCATTAATCCTTTTGGGTTTTAGTACACCTTCCACCTCTTAATTTACGACTTTACAAAATAGTACTATCATGTACGTATGCATGTATAATCAACCCAAACCTCAACCTTCACAACAACGAAGATTAATTATAGAGAGGATAAGGGGAACTTTAATGCTAACATGGAAGTGAACATGAATTGAGTGACTTGACCATGTGATACCCAACATGCTAACAATAACTAACATATATGTACATATACATTTGTTGATGTATGCAATTAATAGGCCCAAGGGATATATTATAAAAATGTGTCATGTGATTAAATCAAAATCCATGGAGCAGTACGTGACAACTGTAGAGACATTTCAAAGTGGTTGGTGCAAATTAAAATCAGGTCTCAGTCGTGTGTTTGAGATTGGTACATGAAAGGTGGGCTTTGAGAAGAAGTAACCTAATTGTCAAAAAAGGCATAGAGTTTGAGTAGAAGTTTGGTAAAGTATGAGGACTAAAAGGTTTCCTCCATACGCATACCTTTATGAGTAGTTGGGGTGGAAACAGCATCTTATCTTTAATAAACAATGATATCAACATTGAAAATTAGCCTCTCGACTCTTCTAACAAGACTTTTTATTGTAACGGTTCGTTTGTCTCATGTTATTATGCAATTGTTTGAAACAACGTTGCGTGTACATCAATTCTCAATGCAACATTTATATATGTTTCCATTGTCCTCCACCAAACTGGCTTCTATTGAGCAACATTTTTGGGTTGGCCCTTTTGTTCTAAACTTGTTTCTATTATCATATTTTTAGTGATGATGCTTTCCTTAACTTTCTCATGCTGTAAAATAACATATCCTTGTCAAACTAAAATGAAGACATCATTTTCTGATATCCAAGGAAAGGGAATAACTAAAGAAAGAAAAAGTAACACACACAAAAAAAGAAAAAAAGAGAGCAAGTAAGCAACTTCATCACCGTTTCCACGGTTGCATCCTTGTATATTTAAAGGCATAAAAGATGAAACCTTTTTTCTTCCTTTATTCCTTTCTGATCCGATGGTATTTGATAACAAGAATCTGGCAGCATTCAAATGCAAGTATACTAAAAGCTATATATATTGAGAAAAAGATATATTAACAAACAAAAATTCCCAGACATAAAACACGACTTAAAAGCTTTAAGCCTCTAACAGTAATAATGTATAAACCCGACTTGCATATGGTTAAGATTCAGAATTTTAAAAATAAAAACGTAATACATTTTTGGTTCATGCTGTTGGATAATACAAGCCGTCATTAATTTGCACTTTAATTTGTTCTCCACATTGATGATAAAGTTAAACCCTTTTTAATGTTTATTAATACTTTTTCTTTAGTTTTTTGTATTAAAGGTATGTTGAACATTAAAAGATAACTTTTTTCTCCTCCTTACCCTAATTTTCTATTGCCAACCCTATTGCTGCGCAGTAAATATACTAGACTGAAAATACTTTTTAGAAATGCAATTTTCGACTTTCCCTATAGCCCCATCTTGTTTTCAGGTATGCAAAATTTTTACCATAATACTTTATACCTTTTGTTAAAAATAAAATAAAATAGTAAGCCATTGTATTATTAGGAAATTTCTTTTAAGATTATATGAATTTGTGAATTCACACATACGTCTATGTTTGTGCGTGTTTTTGTCGGTGTAAAAATAGTATTAATAATTGTGAATATTGTGACCATGATAGCAACGATAATTCAAAAGCAAAAGCAAATTCACATTATATAAATTAAACTTAGTTCCAATTCCTCCTCCTCCTGTTGTCGTTGCTCTGGATTCACCATGAGCAAAAGCAAATTGTGATGACAATTGTCATGGTTGTTCACTTCCAAGATCTTTTGGTGATATGTGATGGTGAGTACGTTGTTTCTATCTTGAACTTAATTATGCCATTGGAAGGAACTAATTAAGAGATGCAACACGACTCGCGTGAAATTCATACGCTGGTGAGTTTGGGGGTAACCAAAGATGATTCATGGTGATGACTTTCAAGTGAAATTGACCAATTAACATTTTTTTTGTCTGGGAAGGAAACAAGAGATTCTAGTTTCACTTAGGGGGATTAGAGAGAAATTGAGAATGAAAGCAGAAAACGATTTTATTTTTTTAAGATAAAAGGGAGTATGTTGATGGCACAAGAGGAGGGAGGAAAAGTCGCAACAACCATATTGGTTAACATATACAGAAGACAAAAAGTATGGAGAAGGGAAAAAATCCAGTGCTAAAGTTGTACCATGTTATCATAGTCCAACAATTAAAAACAATGGTGCATTGTATTTATTTATTTTTTTGTCTTATCATCAATCAATATAGTTGACTAATTGAGTAAAGGATTAAATAAGCGATGTTGATTTGAAAAGTTTTTGCAAATATCAAAAATTGAACTCAAAATTTTTTTCTAAATAAATCATGGTATAAGCATTACACAGACTTATTAGATTTCCTCTTTTGACAACACTTAACATAATTAATTTTTAAAATAAGTACAACCAAAGTTAATAATTTAGAATTAAAGTGATAAAATAATATTTTTGTTAATGCTATGGTCATAGGTCTGCATGTTATATGAATATATTTTGTTGTAATAAGAAAGCAGGAAAAAGAGTAGATTGATGGGCGAGTGCACATGCCCGTGAGAGGTTGAACGCATTCATACGCAAACTCCCACTTCATTCATAGCTTCCTTAAACACCAATTTTATCTCAATCATTTATCATAATTAAATGCCACTTAAACCCATCCTAATCACAAACACCATACGAGTGCACCGTTGAAGAGGAATAATAATTGTACAATGATGAAAATACAAAACATTATATGTATAACACAAAAAAACTTAATGCACATGACTCTAAAAGAAATAATAAAACAGAAAAAAATGGGATGAAGAGAGGAGGAGAGAGAGAGATAAATAATTGGAAATAACCGTTGTGAGAGAGTGGACACGTGGCCAACGCACCTCTCTTCTTCACAACTTGTCTTCTTCTTCTTCTTCTTCTCTTTCTGCAACAACACTCACTCTTTCTCTCTCTACCCGTGACTTCTCACTCTTTCACTTTCACTCTCACTGCTGTTTCGGGAACAAACCAACAACAAAGACAAATTCGCCAATTCATTCAAACACAAACGCTCGCCAATGTCGCTTCTTTCATTGAACAGCCTCCACTCAACGCTCTTCATGTTTTGTTTCATTAACGTTGTAACCGCCGCCACCGAGTTCGACTTCGGAACCTTAACCTTGGGAAGCCTTAAGCTCCTCGGCGACGCGCACTTGAACAACGGCACCGTCAGCCTCACGCGCGACCTCGCCGTTCCCACCTCCGGCGCCGGCAGAGCTCTTTACTCCCGTCCGGTGAGATTCCGGCAACCGGGAAACCGTTTTCCGGCGAGCTTCACCACTTTCTTCTCCTTCTCCGTCGCCAACCTCAACCCTTCCTCCATCGGCGGCGGCCTCGCCTTCCTCCTCTCGCCGGACGACGAGACTATCGGCGACGCGGGTGGATTCCTCGGACTTTCCGGCGGTGGCGGCGGTGGTGGCGCGTTCCTCGCCGTGGAGTTTGATACACTGATGGACGTGGAATTTAATGACATTAACGGTAATCATGTTGGGGTGGACTTAAACAGCGTGGTTTCGAGCGAGGTTGGTGATTTGGCTAGCATTGGGATCGATCTGAAAAGTGGTGACTTGATTAACGCGTGGATCGAGTTTGATGGATCGAGTAAAGGGTTAAGCGTGTGGGTTTCGTACTCCAATCTCAAACCGAAAGATCCCTTTTTGACGATGAATCTCGACGTGGATAAGTATTTGAATGATTTTATGTACGTGGGGTTCTCTGGTTCCACGCAGGGTAGCACAGAGGTTCACAGAATAGAGTGGTGGAGTTTTGGTTCGTCTTTTGAGTCCGCGGCGGCGGGGCCGGGGAAGGGAGCGGCTCCGCCGCCGCCGCCGACGGTGAGTTTGATGAACCCGACGGCGAATTCGGTGAGGTCGGCGCCTCCTTCCTTGGCTCCTTCTAATAGTGAAGAGAAAGAGAGCAAAAGCAAATCTTGCCATAATGGGTTGTGTAAGCAGAATTTGGGAGCGGTTGCTGGTGTTGTCACTGCGAGTGCATTTGTTTTGGCTCTCTTTGCTGGTGCGTTGATTTGGTTTTACTCTAAGAAGGTTAAGCGTGTTAATGACAAGTTTGATTCGGTTGGATCGGAGATCATAAAAATGCCGAAGCAGTTTAGCTACAAGGAGCTGAAGTCAGCCACCAAGTGCTTCAATGCGAATAGGATCATTGGTCATGGGGCGTTTGGGACTGTTTACAAGGGGGTTTTGGCTGAGAATGGGGATATTGTTGCGGTGAAGAGGTGCAGCCATAGTAGTCAGGGGAAGAATGAGTTTTTGTCTGAGTTGTCTATAATAGGGAGTTTGAGGCACCGGAATCTTGTTAGGCTTCAAGGTTGGTGCCATGAGAAAGGTGAGATTTTGCTGGTGTATGACTTGATGCCTAATGGGAGTTTGGACAAGGCTTTGTTTGAGGCTAGGACGCCGCTACCGTGGCCTCACCGGCGCAAGATTCTCTTAGGTGTGGCGTCGGCGTTGGCCTACTTGCATCAGGAGTGTGAGAATCAGGTGATTCATAGGGACATTAAGACTAGTAACATAATGTTGGATGAAGGGTTCAATGCACGGTTGGGAGATTTTGGTTTGGCAAGGCAAACTGAGCATGATAAGTCGCCTGATGCAACAGTGGCTGCAGGGACAATGGGGTATTTGGCACCTGAGTATCTTCTCACGGGGAAGGCTACAGAGAAAACTGATGTGTTTAGTTATGGTGCAGTGGTTCTTGAGGTGGCTAGTGGGAGAAGGCCAATAGAGAAGGATGCAAATGGGGGTGGTAAAGGTGGGATTAGCTGCAATTTGGTGGAATGGGTGTGGAGTTTGCACCGCGAAGGCCGGTTGCTAATGGCGGCTGATCGGAGGCTTGAGGGTGAGTTTGATGAGGGGGAGATGAGGAGGTTGCTCTTGGTTGGGCTAGCTTGCTCTCACCCTGATCCATTGGCTAGACCTACAATGAGAGGTGTGGTTCAGATGCTGGTTGGTGAGGCTGAAGTGCCTATTGTCCCAAGAACAAAGCCATCCGCAGGTTTTAGTACTTCACACTCCCACTTGTTACTCAGCTTGCAAGATAGTGTATCTGATTGTGATGGTATAATCACCATCTCTACCTCCACATCAGAGGACAGCTTCAATCTTGGAGATTTAGTATGATGGAAGGCCAGTTTTAATTATAATTGACTCATGTAGTGTAAATAGAGAGATATGTATTCATTTGTTTGTTCATGTAAATGACAATAACATGCGGTTAAGGGCCTTGAGAAAAGAAATTTTGGGGTGCACACAATTCTGCCTCTAGTGCTCATAATTCATGGCAGAGTGCTGATTTTGGCACATATTAATTGGAGGGGTTCATCTCATGCTGCGGAGCAGTGCAAGATGTTGGTGTGAAATGCTGAAGACAATGTAGGGAAGGTTATGTAACTTTAGACAGACCATTTTTCTACTTCTAATTATATGAGTTTGCATTGAGCAATTGATGCTAAACAAGCTTTCTTTAGACAATTTGAATTGAGTTATCATGGTATAATAAGATAGAAATTTCTCTGAAAGTTTTTCCCTTTGCCTTCTTCATGGCAATGCAGGTTTTGTATCTTCCACTTACAGAAATATACACTATATACATATAAAGAAATAATGCCTCAGCTTTATATATGGTTTTCTGTTATTGAAACCGGGGTAATGGGATTTTCTATTTTCTTGTCATTCCTCCTTTCTTGATGTAATTCTTGATTCTCTGGTGACAAATTATATTAACTGAGTTGGAAGATGGTATTGTTTCTTGCCTTTCCAACATTCTAGTTGGTACTTATTTTAGAATTTTGTGATAAGGATAGTGGTACCGGATATAAATGGTGTTGTTTCACAATTTTGTTGATGAATGAAGGGCACTCAGCATAGCATTTCATTTTTAGTAGCACCTGCTACTAACAGTTTTGTTGTCAGACCTTGAAGTCATTAGAACATTGTTGTAGACATTTTAAATGGTCTGTGAATGTTGTTCTTTTGTCTCATTAAACACATCATCTTGATGTTCAATTAGCTGGTTAATGACAGATGGTATTGACTATTGAAAGATCATGAAGATATTGAATGACACATAACATCTCATTTTCCTTTCCGTTATATATTGAGAGACAAATACAAGTGGTTTTGGGGGCAAGACAAGTGATTGTTGAAATGATACTGTAGATGTCTCTGGGATTGTAAAATTATGAATTTCTGGTACAAGTGGAAGTTCTAGTACAATTCAAAGTTCTCATCATTACTTGACCACTACCACACTTCAGTCGCTGTTCTAGATTATTTTCCCAAAATAAATAGGTGGCTCACACCACTAAAATCAGCACCATAATTTATAATTGGCCAAATTAAATTTAGGTTCCATTTCATTCTTACTTTGTACTCATCCCATCTTATATCGATTACAATTTAAAGTTTATATATACATATTAAGAATAATAAAAGATATATAACTTTTTAATACAATTTTACTAAAATAATACTTCCTTTGAATTTTTTTTTATGAAAATGAATTATATAATATTTTAAAGTTGAGAATCAATGACTAATTTGTTCTTATATATCTAAATAATAAAAAAATGCTCTTATAAATAAATAAATATATATATATATATAAGAAAAAAAAGTACTAAAATTTTTTGGACTAAAATATAAGTAAATTTTATTCAAGTTAATATTATTTAATATTTTTAAATTAAAAAAAATTCCTAATGCAATAAATGGAAATACTATCTACTATAGGTATAGTAAAGAATATTTTAGTAAATGTAATGTATATTTTATATGAAATTGTAAAATTAAATACATTAAATTAATTTTTTTTAGTATGTGTGAATTTAATTTTTTTTTTCTTCTTATATATAAGTCTAGAGAGACCCTCGATAAATGCATTACTTTTTATAATGGTAGTTGAATAATTAATGAACAATAAAAGATAAATTAAGGAAAAAAAAAGTAATTAATAAGGTTAACTTGGTTAAAATTTATTTATATTTTAACCCAAAAAATTTAAAAACATTTTATTTATATATAGATTAAAAGGAGTACTATATTTTTAATTACACAATAAGAAGGGACCAAAAGTATTTAATTTTGATAAAGTAACACATGCTATTTTCTTATCTATCATAATTGAATTCGACATAAAGTTTACACTAATTAATTCACGAGCCTGTTTAACAGAAAAATATTAAATACTAATATCATCGTTTTAACCGATATTTTCATAAGACATTTACATTTATACAATTATTTGAGAAAACAAATAATAACTGTCTAAAAAAATTATTAGATAACATATCGATAGAGGACCACATAATATTTATTTATTTATTTTATTCAAACAAGTAAAGTAGAACTATTTGTTCTAAAATATACTAATAAACAAGGGCATTCTTTTGTCGTCTAAAATTTCCAGTTTATTTTTCCCATTTCCGCTTAATATGGGACATACTTTATATACAATTGAAAAACTTGAATAAAATAGAAAATGATTTTTTATTGAATGTTCATTGACACATGATAGCAAATTAAGAAATAACCTCAAATGTGTGGTTTAGCAGTAGGGTTGATCTACGCTTAAGCAAGGTCAGGAGTTCGAATTCTACCTTGTATATGCAGTCACGTTAAATCTTGGGACCAGCTATCTCACCTTTCTAGGAGTGAGAAAATTAATCATTGCTATCGGCCCTGGATACTCCAGGGACGAATAAAAAAAATCAAGAAAAATAAAAATAAAAGTATTTATTATATAAAAATTACTAAAGTCATTCAATGTTCAACTTTTTTTTAAAAGTAATTTCAAACGTCTCAGATGTCGTAATATTAATTTTACAACGTGTATTGTCTTTAATAATTACACAAATAATGTTTTTAATCTAGATGAGACTAAAATTGCATTGTTTTTTTAAATATAAAGACTATAAATAAATATTTTAATATAATTCAAAACAAAAACTTGATATATTTATAATAGTTGAAAATATATTTAAACATAATAAAAATGATACAATATAATGATTTTAATTTTGATAAATTGTCAGTATAAAATTTCCATCATCAACTAATTAAATACCTTTTGAATATGACTTTTAAAATTATTATAAAAGCTAATGAACTTAAAATACATAAAATTTCATAATTAATTGAGAATAAAAGAAATACTCTTAAAGTGCATTTCAAGAAAAATTACATGTTTTAAAATCCTATCCCATCTGGTATATTAAATAACTCATTTCTTCCAAAAATTTATTTCTTCGTTAAACTGTTCGTCAAGAATTATAACTCCCAATCTGTTTTGTTGCTTGATGAGTTTGGAGTACCACAAGGATGCTTGGTGGGTTCAAGTTCTTCTTGGAGGATGCTTTCAATTTTCTTTCTATCTTTTTTCTTTCGAAACTCAAGTTAGAAAGGAACATAGTCAAAAGGCGAAGAAATTTAAATAGCTTTGTGAACTTGTTAGGCGTACTCGAAAATCATGTGACTCGAAAAGATTGATAGCGCTGCCTGAGAAGTAAAATCAACACATGCTGAATACTTGTGACTAATCTCATGTGGGGCGTGAGAGCACTCGAAATTATGGGACTCGAAAAAACAAGTGTTGCTCGAGAATAGTTGGAAAGTTGAGACTCTTAGAACATGGAGGTTAAGCCAAAACGGTTACCAAAAAATCAATCGAGGAAACAAGGAACGTGGGAAGAACGGTTAAAGGAAGTTGTGAGTCAAGACCACGTAGCAAATATAGTGGATAGCGGTTATGAGTCAAAAGCGTACATGTACAGAATTAACCGCCCTTGATTGCTCTATAAATACAAGGAGTACGGACCTTTACGAAGGTCGGAAAACTCATACTCTAACCAAATTCTGAAGCATTCTCTGCCTGCACATATGGCTTCCATGCGAGGAATCATCTTTGGGTATGATCACTTCTCGGCCACTTGTCTTTTCTCTTTTTAGGAGTAGGATTAGTGTAGTCTTTCTTTTCTCTTCTCTTCTTTTAATTACGTAGTCATAGACTTTAATCTTGTAATGCTTGAACATTATGTAATCTGAACATGATTTGTATTGCGAATGTATACATTGTTCATTCTATTCATATTGTTATTTGCATGCGGGAACATTGCTTGTTTGTTTTAATCGAAGAACATTTTGAAACAAGTAGTTGCTAAGACTTTTTCATCCTACTCTCCATTCTCGGTAACACGATAACACACAGTAAGGCACCTAAATTGAAATACGTTCGTATGCTAGTCTAAATAAAAAGAACCCAGGATTTGATGGTTAATTCCACCGTAAACAAATTGGCACGCCCGGTGGGACCCGTTTAATTTAGAACATAATTGGACTAGTTTTAGGTGTGTGAATTGCATGAGATTAAGGAGTGGAAGAACTATGTCTACGTCTGATAACATGAACGTAAACCATAATAATGTAGATGTAGAACAGCCTAACTCCAATCCTGATAATGCTACCAATGTGACCAGGGGGGCAAGATCTCCTCCTGTGTTGCTTGAAAACCATGCTAGGCATAATAATACCACTCAAGAGTTGGTAAATGTTACTAGAGAGTACCCTTGGGGTATGCCAACTAATTGGCGAAATACCCAGCCTGCGTATGTCGAAATGTCAATGCCTTTTATAGGGCCAAATTCACAAATGAATATATCCCCACAGGGATATAATCCTGGGCCAAGTGGACTGGGTTTTGTTATGCAAGACCCGTATCAACATGTAGGAACAAGTCAGGAGGGTTCATTAATTCGACAAGGTAGTTACATGCCCACGGGTATTAGTAATCAAGCAATGATGGCCCTTCGACAACAAATGGACCATAGTAATCATGACATGGTCAATTTGTTGTCTACTCAGATGCACAACATCATGACACCCCTTTACGAGCTAATAAACAAAATAGGAGATAAGTTGGGTAATGGGACTCCTTCGAGAGCAATGAGTGTGAATCTGAACGATACAGAAAACCCTGGGGGGCATGGAAATTTGCAAAACATAGTTCGACCTAACAGGAACCCTAATGATAATTTAGATCAAATGGTAGAAAGGATATTGAATAGACATGGATTTGATGTAGGTCGGAATGAACGCCCATACTTTGTGTCAGCCTTTCCAGATTATATTACACAAGTAGAATTACCCCGTGGAGTGAAAGTCCCAAAATTCTCGAAATTTGCAGGAGATATAACTGAGTCAACAGTTGAACACATAGCTAGGTATGGGGTCGAATGTGGGGATTTGGCTAATAATGAATACTTGAAAATGAAATATTTCCCAAGTTCGTTGACTAAACATGCTTTTACCTGGTTTACCACCCTGCCTCCTAATTCGATACATACTTGGGTACAGCTAGAAGGTAGCTTTCATGAGCATTTCTTTCGAGAGGAAACAAAGGTTAGTATAGTCGATCTAATGAATATCAAAAGGCAAAGTAATGAAACATTAGATGACTATTTAAATAGGTTTAGGCAATTAAAATCTCGATGCTATACTAATATTCCAGAACATGA